TGTTTAGAGCAGTATATCTCGGTTGCCTTTGGAGTTATCAAAAAGTGGTCAACTGACAAAGTATTGATCACAAAAAATTGAGCATTTTATTAGTTGACAACTTTTTGATATTTCTAAAGGCAATGGAGATATGCTGCACCGAACTTGGTTTATCTAATAATACCTGTAGTAACGATCTATTCTACATCTGCTTCGGGTGTAATTTATTTTCTCCGTTTTTTTTTGTAACAATTCCTTCTCCCAAACAAATTATTTTCCAAAAAGTCGATTTATCACTCATGATATCAGTTTTCAATGTCGATATTTCACAGAAAAGATGTCCCTATTTTGTAGTAACTGGACGATGCACCATGTGTACCTCATCTCAGAGCGGATGTTCGGTAGGCTTATGTTCAGAGCGGTATATCTCCCTTGTGTTCAGAGTTATCAAAAAGTGGTCAATTAACAAAACACCGAGCACAAAGATTTGAACATTTTATTAGTTGACACTTTTTTGATATCTCTAAAGATAACCCAGATATACTGCTCTAAACTTGCGCGTACCTCAATTACCTGTACTAACGATCTTTTCAAACCCCGCTTCGGGTGTAATTTATTTCTCCATGCTAATTGTGACGATCATTTTTTTCCCAAATAAGTTATTGCATCAAGTATCTGTTTTGTACCATGATATCAGTTTTCAATTGTGATATTTCACAAAAAGAGGTCCCTATTTTGTAGTAACTGGCCGATGCACCATGTGTAGTTCATTTCACACCTACGTTCAGTAGACTCATGTTCAAAGCACTATATCTTGATTCCCTTTATAGCTATTAAAAAGTGGTCAACTAACAAAATATTAGGCATACAATTTTAAACATTTTATCAGTTAACATTTTTTTGATATCTCTAAAGATAACCGAGATATGATGCTCTGAACATGAGTTTGTCTAAATTACCTGTAGTAACGATCTCTATCTTGGGATTGCATTGTTCTCCTCAGTTTTCATTCTATGTGATATTCATTTGGATTGTTAAAAAATAAATTATTGCGTACAGTTTTCTAAATTTTTTTTAACCCAATATATCAATTTCCAGGCCATGCTAATAGACGAGCAATTTCAGGCAAACTGCCATAACTCGGCTAATTTTTTTTCGGAAGGTCACAAAAACTATATTTTCTGAACCAAAAAATTAAGACGATTCGAAGAAGTTTAAACACGAACGGTTTACAAAAAATCAAAGTTTTTCGAATTTTTTTCCGGTCCTCCCCACTAACAGGTCTGCTCCGAAGGAAGATCCTATCCCCTAACAAAAGAAGAATATGCATAAAGACCACCGGTAAGTAGGTCACCACCAAGGAATAAATCTCGAGCACAATGTCCAATTAATCTTCCTCCCTCTAACCTCTCATCCGTATCCGTCACCTTTTCCTCATTCTTGCTCATCCCATTTTCTTCCCCTTCCTCACCCCTAAATTTACCGCATTACTACTATTTTCTCTTCTTCTTTTACGTCAACTATACGATTTCTTTGAACACTTTTTGTTGTATTGTTTGTCTTATAGAAAAAAAGTAGAAGCTATGAGACACAAAGGGACTGCGCCGCCCTTTGAGTACTCACTACCAGACACGCTTAACAGGTGTCAAGTAGGATAAACATTTGTGTTCTTTGACACCATGCGCCTTTTGTGGTGTCCAAAGTAAAAAATAAATACAAAAAACGACAAAAAAAAGGTGTCCAAAGTAGTGCAAAATTTGCGTCTTTTTTGCATTCTTCTTCAGTGGTAAGTTCTAGTATTTCTTTAGAGCTATCACGAGGGGCAATGCTCTTTGCAAAATTTTTTTTTCACTGTATTTCTTTTCATGTCCCTAAAAATGGGCTTCTTTTCAGAAGAAAATAACTTCTGCCAGAAAAATTGGTTTCTGGCTTCTTTTTTTCATAAAAACCATACATGTCCAAATTGGGCCCCGAAGGCCCAGCCGGGCCGGTCATTTTGGAATTTCCAGGACCCGGCGCTGGAAAGTTTGGCTTTTTTACGAAATATTTTTTTCAAAGTTTCAGTTTTTCAATCAAAATTTAGGAATTTGCTGCTCATTTTTAGTTTTGAGACGTTTTATAACCAAAGAATGCATGCTTAACGAGAATCAGTTAAATTCATAGAAAAAATTCAAGTTTGGAAAAAGGCGCGAAAACATTTTTTGAATCCGGGTCCGGCCCGCGACAACTATGATAAAAACTGTTTTCAAGATGAAATTTTTTATGCAGACCCCAAGGTTTTTGTCCATTCAAACAAAATCGGATCCCTGCGCCTTTAAGACTACTTCATAACTCCAAGTGTCGGCTCAGTACACAAAGATTTCGAAATTTGAAAGTTGGCGACCTGTCATTATGCAAAAGAAATGTTAGTGTGCTAAAGTGATGGGTGTGTGACTGCTCAAAGGTTATAATTCAATGGCTTATTTCTTATTTTTTTGTCACGGTTGACAAACTTCTCTCTATCTCTTTATCTAATCTCCATAGCGATAACTTGGAAACTTTGACATTTTCTCACAATTTTTATTCCGAAAATAAACATTTTCCCCACTTTTATTTTATGCATCTCATAAAACAAACCTCTGCATATTCATGTTCGAATTTTCTTTTTTGTCCTGCTTTGTATACACCTTTCCATCTACTTCCTCTCCGTCCTTCCTCCTTCCTCCTTTCAAATGTTTCTTCCGTTGTAGATAGTGCTTGCAGAACGGAAAAATGACGAATTCTTTTGTATTTTTTCTTAGTTTTGATACAAGTCACAGGTGTAAAAAAGAAGGATTAGTCATCAGATTTTCGAAATGTATCGGAAAAAAGAACTTTTTTTCAAGTTTTTGATTAGGGCCCAGTCTAGTTCAGAGGTTTATATTACAGCTCCCAGAAGAGGTACAAAAAAGTTGTAAACTGATGAAATGTGTAAAATTAAATGATAAACATTTTGTTAGTTAATTGTTTTTTCATATCTTTAGTTCTAACAAAGGTATAAAATATACACCGACAAGTACAAGACACCTTCACGATCTGAGAGCTTCCCTTAATTTTTGGAGCTCAATATCTCGGCTCTCAGCATAGTTACCGAAAAGTAATCAACTAACAAAACATGCCAAATTGCCTTTTGAACATTTTGTTAACCAAAAATTTCTGAATATCCTTACTCCTTACCAAGTTATACGCTTCTGAATTCAAACAGGAACATTGTAATCCTTCTCAACTAACTAGAGAACGGTCAGATGTGAGTGGTAGGTGAGTGGTACCACTGAATGGCTGAGAAGAAATCATGTAGTTTGAAACTGCTCTGGCATGATAAGTCCATTGTCATGTCTGACCGGCCCCTAGTAGGATCAAGGTCATTCCCTTCTACTCAATAACATACCGCATCTGTCCTTCCAAAAGAAAGAAAAGAAATGGGGGTGCAAAGAAGGACAGGCTCCGCTTCCTTCTCCTTCCCCCTACCCGCATTTTCCTTTATTCGAACATTGGGGGTCAGAGCAGATGAACGAGATTTGTCTTTCGTATCTTCTTCGGTGATGAGACCACTCTGCGCCTTGAAGGTAACGGGCTCCGCCCCTTTTTATGGCTTCTCTTTCCCTTCTCACCCCGCGCACCGACCACTTTATTTGAAAGAATTTCTTCTATTTTTAGCTAGACAACAATGTCAACTGATGATGCACCAACTCCACCTGGAGACATCTTCCCATTCCTACACCTGCCCTACCTTCCCAGGAAAGAATTATTCGAGTATATGAGTCCGAGTGCACTGTGAGTTTTTTTTCTTAATTTTGAAATTTTGGGGCGTAGTACATCAAGTTACAAAGACTATAACCCGAAATAGGCGACGCAGCAACCCTGAACAGGTACGCAGAGAAACTTGAGTGTCTGGGTGTCTGCGCTCTCTCCTAGGGCTACTAAAAATACTACAAAGGCTACAAACTACATAACTAACACTTTTGGGCTAGTCTGCAAATGAAAAAAGACGCAGAGAAACAAAAGTGTCTAGGTGTCTGCGCTCTCTCATAATTTCCCTATTTCCAGCGTGGCCATGTACCAAACCTGCTCCACCGCACATCATCTCTTCCCGCCACTCGCCGGCACTGTCAGCATCCACTACGACCTCGGGAAACCTCTCCTCCATGTCGAATCCTTTCACTCCAATCAAAAATCCGTTCTCCCGTTCATCGCCTTCAAATCCCTCCGGAAAATCTTCACAATCCTGGAACTGGAGGACGTATATGTGGAGATAGACGAGAACAAGGATTACACCCCTCTCGTGGAGTTCTTAAAGTCTTATGGGCGATGTAGAACGATAAAAATCTGCTCGAAGAACGAGGATTATTGTCTGAATATGGAAGGAATTCGGGATCTTCTTGGAGGATTTCAATTCGTTAAGAGGGTGGAGTTTGAGGCCCAAATCGAGAATTGGCCATCCGGATCCCCTAGATTCTTGAAGTCCTCCGTAGTGGATATTTCCAATGGGACTGCCCTTGACCGACGGGACATTCGACGAATCACCCGAGGCTCCAAAGAAGTCAGGATCAACTCCAGTCGTCTCAGTGACAAATCCTTCAACTTTATTATTTTGGATTGGCTCCACGGCCGGAATAAGACCCTGAGGTACCTGGAAATCACTGTTCGAGATCCCTCGGAGCGCCAGGGCAGACGGATTTTGAATGGGGTCAGATTTAGACTGGGAAATGGTGGAAGTTTCCAACCGAAGTACCTGAAGGAGACTGTCAGATTTCATACTGGATGGAATGTGGAGAGAGATTCGGATGGCAGAAGGGCTACGGTAGTCAGTACACGGAAGAAGTTTCGGTTTATTGTTTGGGATTGATTACTTTTTGTTGTCTAATTCAATAATAATTATTATTAGTTTTGGTTGTTTTTAATAAATTTTACCTTGGAAAAAAATTTTGGAAAAAAACCAAAAAAACGTCTGCTGAAATGTTAGAAATTTCAAAATCTTGCCTAGATAAAAAAGAAAAACAGATTTGACCCCGGTGGGGGTCGAACCCGGGATGAAAAATTCAAAATCAAGAGCGCTAGCCACTGCGCCATGGTTCAGCGGCGCAGTAAGAGAGGGGGAGGGCATACTTATTATTGCGTCATCTCCCTTTTTTTCGAGAGGGGAGAGGCAGAGAAAGGTGTCACCTTCCAGAAAAAAACTTGTATACTTTGATGACCTAAAGATGATTTTAGGCAGTGGATATCCGGATTTCGGGATGTACAGATTGACAATTCCTTGTCGGCTGCTGCTAGAGCGCCAAACTCATCCCCAATAGTCTCAACATGCACAAAAAAGTTGTCAACTACAAAAACGAAGTTCAAGCTATGCTAGATACGTCCAAAGTGTTTTGAAGCCGTAGAAAAATTTTTGACCGTTTGGCGCGTCCTCAAAGTTGACTAAAATCAACCGGGGTACTGTATGTTGCTCTGAACATACAGTACTGGGTGGGCCTCTATTTCAGGAATATTTACACTGTTGCTCTGCGGTTGAGAAGAAGTTCCGAGATACTAACAAGTAAGAGATTGTAAGAGATTTGAAGCTTTTTCAATTACCACAATTCCCCCATTTTTCAGCTCAAATCTTAAAGTGCAATCTTTCGAATCATCTCTGGGAACATGCGAAATCAACGAACACAGCGCTAAAAATCGATATATAATGAAGTTTATTGTGAACGAAAAACATGAAAACAATTGAGAGCAGCTGAAGTATTTCAGTCGAAGAATGTAGATTTATAAGGATATTGAATAATTGTCATTTTTAAGGGGGTGGAACAGGAAAGCTACGGGGACTGTGCATGCGTTTTTGGGTCAGAGTACTACAGTGCTCAGTGATTGTGGACCCTGTACTACTGTAGTACTGCAACGAAACCGAGAAAAACCCCGTCGAAAAATAATTTTTGAATGAATAATTATGACAAAGAAAGTAGTATATTTTACAAGGTATACATTTTAAAATAGTGTCCACGGTAGAGAGAATGATAATAATAATTTATTGAATGAAGGGCGAAGCCACCAACACAATTCAAAAAACAAAGTAGAGAAAAACGTTAAAAATTATAAGAGTTAAGAACAAGGTATTTGCTAAGGTTAACATTTTAAAGATATTTTCGAAAAAAAACAGAGGAGGGTTTAGCAGGAAATGTGGAGGGGAGTAGAGAGTTCCAAACATTTAAAGTTCTGTTAGTAAAGAATTGGGAGGAAATTTTGGAGGAAAATTTGAGAAAAGAGCGAATATAATATGGATGTCTCCGAAGAAAAGAGAAGTTTGGAAAAGTTACGAAAAGTGAATCATTTACTAAAATTTCTTTACTTACAGTGAGCTTATACATAAAAACTAAATCAATAACTAGTCGCCTATATTCTAAACTTTCAAGATTACAATATTTGAGTGCTGAGAAATAGTTTACATACCGTAAAAACTATAATAGAAGCACCCCTAAAATTGAAGGACCCCTACAATAGAAGGACAGTACATGAGGGGGTTTGAAAAATAGAAGGACACTCTTTAATAGAGGGGCACTCGAATAGGACTTCCACATTCTATCTGATGTCATTTACAGCTTTTCGCAAGGTGCAATTCAAAAAAGCATAGGTTTTGAATCATATTTTAAGTTAAAAATGATGCTGCGCGTGTAATTTTAAATGAAATGCCTAGGTATAGCTTATTTTTTCAATTTCGCAAGATGCTTCAAAAAATAGAAGGACACCCTTTAATTGAAGCACCCCTAAAATATAAGGACACTCTACGAGGAGGGTTGAAAATTAGAAGGACATGTCCTTCTATTATAGTTTTTACGGTATGTAAGGTTAAATTTTTTGAAGCTGCGAAAAATAAGAGTTTTAAGGACAGGTTCTAAATTTTTGATGTTTGGTTTCGAGCTTAGCGTGAGAGACAGTGTCGAAAGCTTTTCTGAAATCGATGTATGCACAGTAAGTGGTATGTTTAGAGAGATGGTTAGATATTAGTTTGGCTTGATAGGACAACAGTTGACACTCGAAGAGAAATCAGTAATTTAAGTCCATCTTTTCTTTCGAATTGTAGCTTTTGGAAACTTCCATCTTGCTCGATTTCACTGAAAAAGATCATAAACTTTTCCTGTGCAGGGATCTTTTCTTAAAGGCGGGGCGTCAAGCTTTTCAGAAAATAGGATTGTGTAAGCTCCGCCCATAAACGTGATGATGTCTTTACTTACCTCTCACTTAATCCTTCAACCATTTGTGCAAAATCAAAAAGCTCCTGGTTCTGCATAATGAATTTTTCTAATCTACATTCCAAATTGACTATCTTCTTCAACAAGCCATTCAAATACTCCACTGTCAAACCCGGAATCCCTCTCCAAAAAGAAACTTCTCGGCACTGCAAAAAGTTATCAAGGTTGACCCAATGAGGATCATGTACCGCGAAAGACTCGAATTTGTATCCACCTAACGGTGGAGTACACTTGAAATCTTTAGGAAGACACGTTTTGATATCAATGGATGTGTTGTGCTTGTTACATTCATTTAGAAGGTCTTGGATTGTTTCTGACGAAGCATTCTCCAAGTGATAATCGACTTGATCCAATGGAAAACCATTTTCCCAAGCGAATCTCGTCATCTCTATTACGAATTTTTCTCTGGTGCTTTTTTTGAATTCTATCTTGATTTTTGAATTCTTGAATGTGTTTGAAAAACTAAGAAATAGTTTCCTCTGGGATTCTTCGACTTCAGAATTGTCAGAAGAAGAGTAGAATTCACATTCAACATGAAGATTATCAATGGAAACTCTCGTCGGTAAAAACTCTCCTTGAATTCGGTACGAGTTTTCTGGAAAATTATATCGAGCATACCCAATGCCGCCTTTTAGTTCGAATAATAAACTATGTTCTGTGAAGGTGAATTTAGCCGAAAGAGAGTTTTTCGGAATCGATAGCATCACAAGGTTTTGTGATTTTTTGGATAGCAGGAAAAGAGAAAATCTGGAAAAATTACAAAAGATTTGATGTTGCGAATGAAGGATGAACTTACATTCCTCTAGTATCCATTGACTTTATTACCTCACTGATAGCCAACAATGGTAGACGGGGAAGAGGGAACGACATTGCGACAAGACTGACGAAGAGAGGAATAAATGAGGCAAGAGGTACAGTCAATGGTGGGTCTGGGCAGGTTGAAGGTGGCCTTTAGGGTCTCGAGTGGAAATGTGACATCTGTTGAAGGGTGAGATTAGTATCTGAGAGCTAATAAAGTAACTACGGGATTAGTAAATACAAAAGAAGGTTTGACCCCTAGTGATGATTGATGAAGACAATGGAATCTACAGTTAATCATGTAATAGAGGACCACTGTATGTTCACAGTGGCTTATACCGATAGTCGTCGAAGTTATCAAAAAATTTCAATTGGCTATGTTGTTCGAAATGTTTTGCTTGATAGTTTCGAATGTTGCTCTGAACATACAGTACTGAATGGACCTCTAATGGCAGGATTGCAATATTTGCATTGTTTGAGGTTAAGGAGAATTTTCGAGATTCCAAGAGAGATGAAGCTTTTTCAAGTACCACTATTCTCCCGTTCTTCAGCCCAAATCTTAAAGTACATCCCTTTTGAATCGTCTCTGGAAATATGCGAGTGACAATAACAGAAAGTCATTATTTAATGGAGTTTATTGTGAACGATAAACATGGAAACAATTGAGAACAGCTGAAGTATTGAAATGTAGTAATGTAATGTAATGTAGAAGTAGTAATGTAGATTTATGAGGATATGGAATAATTGCTTTTCAGGAGTTTTTGAATAAATTTATGATGAAACTTTTCAAAGATAATCATCTTCCAAAATAAGGCATCCACAGGAGAGACAAACCAACATTTTCAGACCATCTTTTCTTTGGAATCGAAGCTCTTGACGTCCGATTCGCTCAATTGCACTGAAAAAAGATATACTTTTTTCCCGAGCTCAGGAATCGGCCTTTCAAGCCTAATAAAGCCGTATATTTATTTTAGTGGAACTTCTCATTTACATTGAGTTCTGTCCTGACTGCTGTTTCAACAAAGTCCAGAAACTGCTTCCTATCCTGTAAAAATAGTTTCCTAGCTCTTCGCGAGTTGAGCTGTATTCTGTTAAAAATTTCCACATCGTGGATTGTGGTGATAGCAGCTTTTATTCAATTGTCTCTGAAATTCTATTCTTACTAAATTTAGATGTAAGAGCAACGATGGAATTCAAGCTATCACGAGGGGCAATGCTCATTGCAAAATAAGTAAATTATGTGTTTACTTACAACCAAAGTTAGATGAAAAAGAATCACTGACATAGAATTCTGAATAAATCGGAATTACAATTACTCAAGAGAAGGGCATATCACTATGAGGTGGTTATTGGCTTAGGAAGTGACAATCTATAACAGCAAAGTTGTGTAATCGCATCGAGAACATGCTAAGAAATTGTAAAAATTTAGAATAAACAATGTGAAAATACAGCTTGAATCAAATTCAAGAGCAATGTAGAGTATCGCAAGATTTGGAATGACGGGAGGTTATGGGAGGTACGCACAATTCCGAAACCGCTTATTCCTTGGCTCCACCACGTGGATAGTACTTCTCGAGGGTGCTTTCTGGGATACGCTTGAGCATTTCACGTGGGAAGATACGGAGAAGTTGCCATCCGATGTCGAGGGACTCGAAGACGGTACGGTTCTCGTCGTGACCTGGAAAAATTCAATCTCTTCTACATACTAAAGGAATAGCTCTTTGTGTCTGTCTGTGCCGCACTTATCACTGAATAACTTTTGTGCCCCTCAACCGTTTCCTATCATATTTGGCATGTAGTTATGAGTCACCGAGCGCTTCAATTCTGTGAAGTTTGGAGCTTGGGTTACTGTAGGGATACGGTAGCTACAGTAACCAGATAACTCAGTAATAGCTAGAAAACGGGTTCGAAGTGCTCAGAATTGTTCCATTTTTTGCATGTACTATCCAAGGGTCCCCAATAGTACACCATCAAAAAAATGGTGGAGATTACTGTAGAATTACGGTAGTTACGGTACTCCGAAAACTCAACTGGCAAGCTCTGGATGGA